TTCATAATAACCAGATGCGCATTCACATTTTAATCCTTTCAATATTCTCTTTAAGACAGTATCGCAAGTTAAACAACTGTCAATAGTCCCTTGAAAACAAGTTAGACAAGATGAATGACACTATGAGCATGAGTTAGTTGGAGGCGAATAAAATAATCCTGTTTAGCATCTGCATGTTTTTCCAACATTTTCCATACCATCAATATTATTGCAAGTTAAACAATCATCAGAAGTAGGTCCAACACAAGTTTAACATAAGTAATGGCATTTTTTACATTAAGGATTTGATAAAATTGGATAGTATCCATCAATACAAACACATTATTGATTTTTTAGTTATCTATTATTTTTGATTAAACACTCTATACAAGTGCTTGAACTTAAACATTAGTTACATTCAATTGGACAATCAAAACATTGATTTGAATCTTCATATTGATTCAATTAGCAAATACATCCTAATTTAGTTTAAGTATAAGTAGATTAGCATGTTTAACAATCTATTTTAGATGTACATGTTAAACAAGATTATGGACAATTAAAACATCTGTAAGAATCTTTATCAAAATATTAATTATTTTAACACTCTTCTTACGAGAATTTAATAATGCTTTCATCATAATCGCTACTCCATTATAAGCATTTAGTTTCATTTATGCATTATAAACAATAAGGTTAGCATTTATGGACTGCTATGTAATAATTATAAAATCCACAATAAGCTGTTATTGGTTCATTATTTGATCCAAAGCATTCCCAACTTATATTTAAAATGCTTGTATTATGACTTATTCTTTCATATATTCTACCCCATTTTACTCCATTAGAATATGAATTATTAAAACTTTAGGTTGATTTAGAAACTGTTAAATTATTTTCAACTGTATAAATAAACTAACCATCAGAAGGAAATTCAGGTCCAAAAAGGATATAAAAGGCAATCGTGATACTATGATGTGGGTCATCTACACTATGAGTTCGTTAAAATTTAGCCTAAGCCCATATGAAAGGACCTCCAAAGATTGCTTAATTAAGTGAATAATATCCCCAATACATATGAGAATAATATATATCTAATCCTTTTAAAAAATTTGTGCCATTTTAGGAGATAAGTTTATATTCTTGATTTTATTCAGGATCATGTGCCTAATATCTAAAGTCTTAAGCTAAATATTAAGAGTCTTAATATAAAATAAGTTGATACATGGAGTTTCATCATCAAAATTTTAACAATAAGAGCCTTTTAATTTTTAATAAGGTTCTGAACAGCTTGAGATGCATGTATTATTCTTATACTAATAGTATCCACTTACACAAACCTTACATTTAAATGATACCTCACACAGTTTACAGTATTCAGGGCAATACCCCGAAGTAATTGTAAGACTATAAAATCCCC